CGGATGGATGGATGGATGGATGGATGGATGGATGGATGGATGGATGGATGGATGGATGGATGGATGGATGGATGGATGGATGGATAGACAGTTGGATGACAGACGGTTGGATGGTTGGGCAGGCGGTTGGATGGATGGGCAGACAGTTGGATGATAGGCGGTTGGATGGTTGGGCAGACAATTGGATGATAGACGGTTGGATGGTTGGGCAGGCGGTTGGATGATAGGCGGTTGGATGGCTGGGCAGGCGGTTGGATGATAGACGGTTGGATGGCTGGGCAGGCGGTTGGATGGCTCCAACATTTAACCAACAGGATAATGAATTAAGTCTAGAAATAAAATAATTTTTCTCTTTCATTGTTTGTTTTCCAGACTTTTCCAGACTTTTCCAGGCAGACCTTGAATCCCAGCCCCTCCCTGTGGTTCGGTGTATTAATTAGACGTTGTGCGTTAACAAATTGCTTTCCAGTGGCGCTCTCCGAATCTCAAACTAATTACTCTTCCTGTGTTCTCCTTGTTAATGCTGATGCTGTTAGCATGAAACGCCTAAAGAGGGGCCCAGAAATGTGTCTGTTCCTCCACATTAGCGCAGCTTTGATTTGATTACTCGCTGCAGAGCATTAACTCAGCTCTGACCGAGCCTTCATCGTGCAGCATTCAGCCACACTCGCTGCTCCTGTTGCCTGCTCTGCCTCTAATATAAATTTAGCTGGCGAAACGCTCAGCAAGTGCCGTTTTGACGCCTTATGTAGGTCAATTCTTCTTCGGCGGCGTGTGATGAGTGATTTGGTTTTGTGGAAAAGGGAACTGCGGTTTTATTATTCATACTCCAACAGAGATTGGAGATTTGGTGCATTAAAGCATGACTCTGTCGCTTCCCCTCCTCGCTGAAGTGGTATTCTTTCTCTAAATTGAAATTAAAATGAGCATTTGATGTTGGTCCGAACTGTTTTTCAGCCTCAAAAATCTTGTTAAGATTCATCCCTGGACGGCCCATTTTCAGTTTAAAAGCCTTTAATTTCACCTTCTAGCTGCGGTTTCTGTAAGATTTATTGAGTTTTCTTCGTATTTGATTGCAAAAGTGGCCTTTCTAACTTCAGATTTAATGCAATTGGGCTCCACAAAATGGACCCAACTCTCACGTAATTTCTCCACAGTGCAACAGCTGAACACATGAGGTGAGAACCGTGAAATTGACCTTGGGAAAGCAGCAGTGTGTGCATCACGTTGAGATTGTTATTCAGAGAATCCAGACTAAATGGGTTTTATTTGGGACTCTCTCTCTGCAGAACCAGCGCCAACCTTAATGCCCTTACAAATATTGCCTCATGGTGGCTGCACCTAAACGGCTGCCCGATAATCATCAGTTCAGATAAAATCACGTCTTTTCTTCGGAGTAGCTTATCCGTGTGTGTAGCTTCAGAGCCGTTCGAGGCGCCGTACAGCTTTATGGTCGTGTCTCTTCTGTTGATCTAATTGGATACCCTCTGTTGCTGACGATGAATCATTGCCGGACCTCCTCTCCACTCTCAAGCACTTATTTTATTGAATGCATGGTTCCCCTGAAACTCAAAGCTGTGTTTTAAAACTTGTATCTTTCCCCTGACTCCAGCCATTGATCTTTTTTTCCTCTTCTTCTTCCCGTCCGTTTTTTACAGCTGTGTAGCGGTGTCACTTTTTATTCCTGTGGCAGATTATGTCTGCTTTTATGTCCTCTGTCTCCCCAGAGAAAGGCTCTAAGTTCAGGTCGTTCCCTTCTCTCCGCTAATTGACTCCCAATTTCACAAATGCACTTTAAGGTGGAGAAAAAGCCGACTTGTCTTTCTGTCCATGTGGAGGACTGACATGACGCCTCTGCTCCATTTATCTGGCCTTGATTCTTGACCTGCTGAGACGGAGGACGCTCTGCAGTTCAGCGGTCAAACTAAAAATGGAAAACAGAAACTTTCAGAAAAGTACGCTCACCAACGATGGGATGAGTTTGGTTGTAATTGATTACATTTACTAGAAAACGTGCTTTTAAGAGTATTTTTACTCATAAGTATCGCTGTTCTTACTTGAGTAAAATGTGAATGAAGAGCCAGCTCATTTTAACAAACCAGACAAAACCTGCAGTTTTTGCTAAATTTCACAAATTTTGATTAAAATTATCTGGAAAATTTCTTCTTTTGCCTGATTCTATTATTTCATAAATGTGGTATTTATATGAATTATTTTTATTTTGATCTTTAAAATACAAAAATGTCCACATTACTTTATATTTTGATCTGCCTGATTTTTAAAGAGCATCTAAATAATAGACGTTTTGATCAGTTACTCAGTATTTGAGTAGACTTTGTACCAAATACATTTTTTCACTCTTACTCGACTAATTTCTTGGATGGTTATTCTTTACTCTTACTTGAGTACAATTTTTGGGTTCTCACCATCATGGCCACCACCAGTAGCCGATTCAAAGCCGCACCATTCTAAACCAATCAGGTCCTATTAATGACCAGTTTAACCAGTTGTTAATGACCAGTTTAACCAGTTGTTAATGACCAGTTTAACCATCAACCAGTTGTTAATGACCAGTTTAACCAGTTGTTAATGACCAGTTTAACCAGCTGTTAATGACCAGTTTAACCAGCTGTTAATGACCAGTTTAATCAGTTGTTAATGACCAGTTAACCATCAACCAGTTGTTAATGACCAGTTTAACCAGCTGTTAATGACCAGTTTAACCAGCTGTTAATGACCAGTTTAACCATCAATCAGATTGGGTTTTACCCATCAGTAACTCGTTTTTCAGATTTTTAAGTCTCTCGTCATTCCTTTGCTCTTCTTTGGGAAGCAGTTTGAATATTTTCTAGTTTCTGCCTCGACGTCGGACCCTGGTGTTGATTTCAGTTTCTCCATTTTCCCTGAAGCTCTGAATATGTTCAGTCACTGTTGTGAGTTTTTACAAATGGCGGGATTGCCTCTAGTGACTCAACCAGTGACGGCATTCCTTAGCCAGTCGTTTTGAACTTTTTGTGTGTAAAACAAACAAACCTTGGTTTACCCTCTTTTGAAGATCATTGCTGACATCTTTCCATCTTGGCATGGTGTCAAAACTCTTACCTCTACTTAATTAGCAGCACCTGGGTTCTACTTTCCATCTTAAACAAATGCCTTTTCTATACTTCATTTGATTTTTATTTGATAACTAATGACAGCATGGAATCTGTTCTGTGTATTTAAAGGTAATTTTAGAATAAAGTCTTGGTATATCCACAGAAAGGTGTACTGTCTTTCTACCTTCTCTGTGGTTAAAGATAGCGAGTTTCTCCCTCGGCGGCTGATCTGCACTGCGAACAGCTCCAGGAAAGCTGCTTTTTCTTTGACAATCGAAGGCAAAGATTTTTTTAATTACTCGCCTGATGCAGAGTAGAAAAGCTCTGGCTCTGCCTGTGGGTATTCATATTGACTTGAGTGTATGATGTTTTAATGAGGCAGCCTTGTGAATGATTTGTTGCAATTGCGTACGCTTAGAAGACTAATTTGTTTTTTTCTCCTTCGTTTTTCTGTGTTTCTAGTGGATGGATTCTTTGTTGACTCTGAGGCAGATTTGAGGTTTTCCAAACAGACCAGGATGTCAAAGATCTCCAAGGCGGTGAAGGCGGTGAAGAAAGTGGACACAGGCAATGTAATCCGGGCCATCGTGAGGTCAGGACAGGCGGCTCCCGGCCCCCCGCTGGGCCCCATCCTGGGACAGGTAAATTAACTACCATTTCACTTCTTGTTCTCTCAATTTGCTCTGAGTGATCTTTAATATCAACCTAATTGCGGGAGCCTTGCTTCGTTTTATTAGCCGGCCTTTCTCACACAGCTTCCATTAGCCGTCAGACAACCTGATCCTTTCCTATTTTCACTTTGCCAATCACGCCGCTCCCTCTTCCCCCTCCACTGACCTCGCGCTACGCCTCCATCTCCTCCCACAGCCCTGTTTAGACTTCTCATTCTAGTCGCACATCTCCATTGTGCAGGTGTGTGCCACACACTTCCCTCAGCGTGCAACGTTTTTATCAGTTTCCAGGCTAAAGACACTAACGCCTCCATCAGCAGCAGCTGTCCATAAACATTAGCTTCACTCTTTACAGGCCGTAGATGAAATGGGACTGAACGTTTGAAGGCTTCAGCTTAAAATCTTCTGTTCTCCTTTGCGCTTCAGTTGCTCCGCTGAGGCAGCCGAGGTTGTATGGGTTTCTTTTTTTTTTGTTTGTTTCTCAGGAATGCACCACTGCAACTTTTTCTCCACTGATGCCGATTCTAACCAGAAAAATTTATCTGCTGGCTGCTACAGTAACAAGAAAAGTCAGCACTCCTCAAACAATGAGTGCTACCCGAGTTATTTATTTTTTTCCTGAATAAAACAACAATGCTGTGTCTCAGATACTCAGTGCTGTGTTTATTAACCAGATACAGAGGATATGAAACGTCGGCACAGCCCTGGAAAGATGGCAGGTTTCTGAGGTGTGAAAGAAAAGAAACACATTTATTCTGACCTACAGTCTGTACGACTCCAGTAAAAAAACAAACCCAAACCTTTTAGGGCAAGGAAATAAAAAAAACAAAGCTAGCACACTTGCATAAATAAGCACACCTTAAAGAGGATCTGTTTTGCAAAATTCACATTTTTCACATTTTTATATTTCCATTTGTGTCTCAACTGCTTCTAAAAACAGCACAAGTAGTTAAGAAAAACACTCCCCTGTTTTTTGGTATTGAATTGTTTCAAAAACCTCCCAATTGTTAAGTCATAATCAACGCCCCGTTACCTAGCAACGTCAGCCAAGCCCAGCCCCGTTACCTAGCAACCCAAATGGAGCTCCACCATGTTTTGTCAGCTGGTTTTACCGTTGTATGCGTTGTACAATGGCTGATGGAAAAGACATGTGTGTTTTTACAACCAAATCAAACAGGAATCTGTAGTTAGTGGGAGAAATGGGTCGTGGTTTTCTAGAAAAAAGAAATAAAGAAGAATCCTACAACCGCTAGAATCTGACACCACCTAATGTTTTTTGTTTATATTTTGTGAAGAAGGAAGTTGCGCTCACGTGTTCTTCTGAGGTCTTTGTGTCGCTTCCTTCAGTGGTTCTTGGTGCAGCGCCACCACAGGTGAGAACAGCTTCTCAAAGTTTGTTTCAGTGTGAAAGCGAAACACATCAGCCGGAAATGTAACAAATATTTCAAGAGATGCTTTTTATGACTTGGACACCACTGCTCAGATGCAACCAGGAGAAGGTCAGGAAAAACCGGAGTAATCAAACACCTTGGTGTTAATCTAAATTTTGGCAGGTGTGTCCTGAGTTTGCTCCTTCTCGGTGTGAGTTTGGATGTGGTAAAAGTTTTTGGACCTGGTTAAGTGGGTGTAAAACTTCTATTTTTGCATCACAAACAGTTGTGTGAAGACCTTTTACATCCAGTGATCTTGCTTCAAAGTCTTTCTTGTAAAGCTTTTATTTTATTTCTCACCATAAAGGAGCAATCTGCTCCAGCTTTTATGGCCATTGAGCTATTAAAGGTTGATCGTCCCTTTCCAGATTGAATGAAAGCAGCTGCTCGGCTCGGTTCTGTACATACAAACGATCCAGTTAACCTCTTTTAATGGACAGTACTCATCAGCCCTGAACGCTGTTGCACACTCTGAAACCAGATCAATTCTCACACTTAATCCATCTGAGTGACTTAATGGCTGAGCTCAAGACAGCAGGACGGGAAAGTGAACAAAGCTGGCAGAACAGAGAAGATGTGAAAAAGGAGATAAGAGTTAAAATTATCACACGCTTCTTTCAAAGCCAGCTTCTCGTTTGTTATAAGATACTAAAATTCAGCTAAAACAGCCAAAGAAAAATAGCTTTTTCTACTTCGCCTAATCAGGAAAACGTTTTTAACTGCACAGCCAGACACAACTGATTAAACCACTTGCCAAGAACAGACAATTAAGGCTTCGAATTATAAGACAATGAGCATCTGTTCTGAGACGCTGGTGTTATTTCTGACTGAAGGACGTTTCAACCAAACACAGAAGCTTGGAAATGAAATATTAAATATTTCATTCTGCTTCCACCCGTGGATTACATTACAAGCATTGCTAAATTGTGCGTCCTATTCTTACATGACGGGACGTTGCAGCAGAAATGAAGGCAACACGAGGGAAAGTAATTTGGTTATGTCGGCGCAGCGGCTCATCAGTTTATCCCAGCTGGCTCTGGTGAAATTTTTTAAGCCACCTACTGAATAATTGTTCCAGAAATGGTGGCAAATTGGGAGTTTTTTTTTTAGCTATTATAGCAAACAAAGGATTGCATTGTCAAGCAGATTTTCCTTAGAAAGATGCTGCTACTGGTGCTTCACAGCGTTGGTATTCAGGGTGTTTCATGTGCAGTTATGGGGAAAATAAAATACCCCATTCTGTAAATTCTGGTTTTGTTTGTGTGCATTTTCTATCCTCAGAGCCCCACAACAGAAGTACCGGGGGATATTTTCCATCTCGCTTTAATGGCTTTTATTAATTTAAAGGTACAATAGGCTTCTGGTTCAGGCAGCACTGAGGGCAGACAACTACATTCATAAAGACACAAGCAGGAGCCGGAGGAAGGACCAGAGAGCCGACAACAACCAACAAAGATCATTTATTAGCTGCAGAATGTTAAAATAACTTGATATTTACCTTCTACATGTATTTAAAATGAACCTGTACAAAACAAAAACATATTTTCCACTCTGATTGTTTATCTAAGAAGAATGAGGTCAAAATTCAAAATGGGGAACTGGGAATTTATCGTATTGTCTGTCATTTATCGTGAAACATTTTGATTTATTGTTGCCACAAATTTCAATTAATGATGTTTAAAACTCCACTTTCTTTCAGATTTAAGAGGAAAATTGGCAACCTGGTGCAGCGATTAAAATTAATTTGATCATCTATAGTGAGAAAGTAAACATGCATGAATTGTTTTGGCAATTTAGAACAGAAAAGTTCAAAAACAAAGGAATTAAAATTATTTCTCAGAGGTAAATGTATGGAAAATGTTTCCCACTGACCTCATATGCTTGTTTTCCCATCAGCTTCATCTGGAAGGAACATTTTCATTTCTTCTTCTTGTTCTGATTTATTAAGGCATTATAGTTTGGGATTTTTCCTTCATTTATTCATTATAAAGTCACCAAATCACCCCCGCCAAAAAAAGAAAAATATTGAAACATACATGTTCGCTGGAGGAGCGCATGTTTGTTATTTTAGTTTTTCTTTTGTATTTGTTGTTTCATTCGGATGAATCAGAAAACAAAGCCTGTCTGTTTCCCTCCCCACCATTGTGGTTATTATATAATAATATATATTTTTTCTGAACATCACAGACTTTCATTTTATATTTCTGTTATAAGTTTGAGTAAATAAATCGCCACTGCACTTGGAGCCACTCTGGGGGAAAAATAAAAGCTTTGCTTGCAGATGGAGGGAGTTTGTGTGTAGCATTAAAACCAACATTATTTATTCTGCATCCTGCCTCTGTTGGGTTCAGCCAAGCATTGTTACAAATTAACAAACTACATTTTTGGATAGAAGAAGAAAAAAAAAGTTATATATATGTTACAACCCCACCCTAAAATCCCTAAAGTAAATCCTGGCACTGGGCTTTAACATAAAACTAAAAAGTAACCCGAACAGTTGAGTAACAAAAGTATAATTTATTTTACAATCCAGATAAAAACGACTACTACAGGAGAAAAGAAAACAAAGGGGAGCTTAAGACTTCAGAGTCTCCAAGGCCAAAATAATAAACAAAACACCCCCTTATAACTATAAAATAAAACAACCACTTGCTAAAGAAGAACTAA